ATTTCTTTATGTCCTTATGTTTTGGTTGTGTCTGGTGAAGAGCTATGGATTTTGGCTTATCATCCAACCTGAGTCTATCTTTTAACTATATGGATTTTTGCTAAACTTTTAGCCATATAGATTTTAGTCTATTTACATTTATTGTTATTACTGATCTATTTAGGTTTATTTCTGCCATCTTAGTTTGTACTATTGACTATGCCCCTCTTTTTATGATGAAACATTTAAAACAAAGATGACTTTAGGTGGAGGAACACTCAGGTTTATCAAATCTTACATTATGCCATATTTGCTTCAGAAAAATTTTTAAAAGAAATGAAACACTGCAGGTGCAACTTAAGTCTCCTAATCTCATTTCCCCTCTCCCCAGGAAAACTTTTCACAAATTGAAGGTTTACTATTTCCATTCACATTTTCCCTTTTTAATATGTTTATGATCCTATAGCAATATATAGCATTGTTTGAAGGTTTTTAAACTTGATACTAGTGGTTATATCAACAGCCATTTCCAGCAGCAGTGTATCATAGCCAAACCTTGGTACAGTCAGCTTTAATTCCTATCCCCCCAGGTCTTCTCAAAAACTTCACTCTTGCAAGTAATTCCACCCTTTTCTGTATCATTTTCTCCCTCTCCACAAGATCATTCCTGTCAGCATACAAACATACTATAGAATCTTTTATCTTAGTTAATAATAAAACTCCTTTACCCAATAGCCCATCCAAGTTAGGGCTCCTTTTGCTCCTTTTCACTATAAAGTTTCTTGAAAAAGGTGTTTTTACTTTCTACTTTTCCCACTTAACATTCTCCTCTCAACCCATTTCACTGATACTACTCTTACAAAAATCATCAATAACTTCCACATTACCAAACTGAGTAGCTATTTCTATTTATCTTGATCTTACAAGTGATATTTAACATAATATCCCTCATTTTTGAAACATCTTTCCTAACCTTCCATGACATTGCACTCCTGTATATAACTGGCACTTTGTTTTCTATTCTCACTTGCCAATACTTCATGTTCCTCAATTTAACTTCTAAAAGCTGGATTAAAAACCAGAGCTCTCTCCTAAGCTTCCTTCTTTTATCTAGCATGGCAGGAAATGCTACCTAGCCACAGAAATCATTCTCCCCTTCCTAGCAAAAGGTCTATAGCCTGCACATAACTGGCTAGCTACCCTACATTTTCCAGAAGCCAGTTAGCTATGACCATATGACTAGGTTCTCACCAACCAAATGTCAACAGAAAGAAATGGCATGTACTACTTTGCGGCCAAAGCTTTTCTTTCTTCCATACTCTTTCTCCTTACCATGAGTCAGAGGACTGAAAACAGAGAGAAGGGGCTATGACCTGGCTTTGATAAAATACACTATAGCCTAAGGGAAAGGGGAATAACAAGATAGGAAGAAAGTGATCCCTAAATGATTGTGAAGCAAAGACACCTGATGACCAGGAACTTTGACCATTACATGAGACCAATAAAGGTCTACCTTGTTTGAGCCATTACACTTCAGTGTCTCTTTGTTATGGTAGCTTAGCCTTTCAACACAACTAATCCATATAATATATGCACTCCCTAGATGACTTCATCTGGTACCAAGTCTTTAATTATCATTTATACAAAATACTTCTAAATCCAGATCCAGACCTTAAATTCTGACCTCTATTCAGACATACAGACTTGTACATCCAACTGCCTCCTTGACATATCCATATGAATGTCCAAGAGTTGTCACAAACTCATGATTGCCGAAACAGAATTCCTGACACCTCCTACCCCAAGGTCTAAACCCAAAGTTTCTTCATTCTACTTAGTAAAATCATGCTATCTTTATCTTGAGAACATATCCCATTCTCCCCATCTCCTATTAAGTTCAAGCCTTTTTTTTGCTCCTTGAACACACTGAGCTCATTCTGCCGGGGAAATTTAACCTACCAGTTAGTTCTCTCTGGCTAGACTACAGTTCCTTTTAGCTTTACAAAGCTGGCTTACTTGCCTCATTCAGATCTTAGTTTAAATACCATCCTCTCAGACAACCCTTCCCGTACTATATGAACATCCAGAGGTCTACTTCCACAACACTGTTTAAATCCCATGCATAGCACTAATTACTAGTTGATATTTTTCTTGCTTTCATTCACTTATTCAACAAGTATTTACTAAATTCGTAACTATATCCTAGGCACTAACCTAGACATGGGGATACAGCTGTGAACAAAAATCAGCTTCCATCCTAATAAATTGCACAGTAAAGCAGATAGTGATAAATACTGTAGGGCATGGGGATGGGAGTGCAAGGGTCAGGGACTATAGTCTTAAGTAGGATGGTCAAAGAAAGCTTCACTAAAATGCCATCTGATCAAAAACCTGAAGGAGATAAAGAAGCAAAATAATGACTATCTGTGAGAAGAGGTATGAAGGCAGAGAGAACAAGTGCAAAGTTCCTTAGGTGGGAATGTACTTGATAACAAGGAGGGCAATATAAATGCAAGAGTGATGGAGAAGGAGAGCAGGAGATGAACATAGAGAGGAAATGGGACCTAGATTATGGAGGGCCATGTAAAAGAAGCCACTGGAAATTTGAACAGAGATGTGGCATGATCCATTTTGAAAATATACCATAGGCATCAAGAATAGGAAAAGGGAAACCAAATTGAAGGCTATAGCAAAATAATTCTGCTTCCTCAATTTTCAGAAAACTGGCTTTCTCTTGACATTAAAGCTGAGAGCTGAATGGCATCTTCTCAGAGGACTTCCTTAACCACCCAGCCTAAACAGAAATGACTGCATAGACCAGGTATGGTTATGGTCAGGAATGGTAAGACATGGTTGGATTTGGGTATGTTCTGGGGGTAGACCTAACAGATTTGCTGATGGATCAGATATAGATTAGGGGAGAAAGAGAGGTTCAAGAATATACTAAAGTTTCAGCCTGAGCAATTAAAAGGCCAGAAATGCAAAAATGAGATGAGAACAAGTGATGAACAGGTTTAGAAGAACTAAATCTGGAGTTAAATTTTTGATATAGTATGTTAAAGATTCATCTATTAGTCTATTATACCTATTAATAGATATCACTATATGCTAATAATCTTGTCTATTAGATATCTATAGGTAAAGGTATAAAGTGGGCAGTTAGCTAGATATACCAGTCTGTATTCAGGGGAGGGAATCTTAGCTGGAGATGTAAACTTGGAAACCATCAGCATATTGATGGTACTTTAAAATGGTATTTAAAGACTGGATGGGATTCCTATACAGGACTATCTCCAACTTCTACTCTTGACACATCCAGTCTCCAAAAAGCATCTAGAACAATTTTCCAAAACATAAAAGAAGATCAAATCACTCCTTTCAAAAAATTTTTAAGTAATACTGTCTCTGCACTTGGAATAAAACCTAACCATGACCTAGAAAGCTCTGGATCATCTGATCCTTTTCTACCTTCCTAAGTCCAAGACACAGTGGCCTTCTCTCCTCTCTTGAAGAGCATCAAACTTTTTCTTTCCTCACAACCTTTGAACATACTATTCCTTGTGCCTAGAATGTTCTTCCCTGGCCTCTAGGTTACCTCCTACTGATCCTTCAGCTCTAAGCTGCAAGGTCACCTGAAGCCTTTCTCTAATAGCCAATTGAAATATGCTTCTTCTCTCAAAGTCCCTTTCATAACACTTTACTCAATTTATAAACACACACATAGATAGAAAGGAGAGAGATTATCTCTACCCCAGCGGATAATAAGCTCCATGGGTGCAGGGACTTTGTCTTATTCGGTGCCCAATACTCAGGGCCCAGCTCAGGGCCTGGCAAACAGTAAACATTCAAAGTATTTGCTGAATAGAACATGGAATTTATCTCATCATACACAGAATGCTATTTTTCCTCCTTAAAAAAAAAAAAAACCAGCTACTTCAAACACTGTCAAATTACAGAGCTATTAACTATACCAAGATACCTTACCAATAAAGCTTCCTTGTACCATTTCATCGGTTTCATTCATTCAGAAGTTTTCATTCATTCATCATAGCTGCATTCAATCCTCACGTGACATCAGTTACTAAATTCTGTATGTACTTAAAAGGAATTCTTTAGCTCCGAGTTGGATGGGGGCTTTAGAAATCATCTAATTCTCAGTTGAGAGAGGAAAATGGGTTAACACTTTTCTGTCCCAGGTTACAGTCAGTAAAACTGTCATTGTGAACCCAAGTCCCTGATTTAGTTTAGTGCTTTTTCCAAAACACGTTTTTGTCTGGTACATTTTCTCTGAAAGAACAAGAATTGAAAGAAAAGCCACTATCATCCAAAATGACCCACATTTGTTAATTCTAGATATATGTTAAGGAAATGCAATGACCTTATCCAAATGCAAGGCTCCTTAAGCTGCCTTTACTTAAAAACTGGGCAGCTTTTACAATCGAAAACTAGAAATACAAGTAGTTTATAAAGTTAGCGTTCTAGTGATCAGTAAACAGTTGCTAAGTCATCAAAAGAAGTAGCCTTTGTTAGGCAACTTTAGCAATAAGTGAACTAATGCTATTTTAGGAACAGCAGAACTTCCCTACCTCGCAGAAAAGGGAAACTGGAAAATTGCACGAGCTGAAGAAAAATTTTTCACATGTTGCTTTTAGACATAAAACTCAATATTCTGGAAAGTCAGATTTCCGTTAAGAAGCTACTAAAGGAATTTCCTTTTTCATGATACACAGTGCGCGCGCACACAAAATACTGAGAACCGAAAAGCTGTTTTAACGCAAAGAAACACTAACTTTAATGGGTTTCGGCACTTATGGACCAGCCGGACAATTCCCCTCTGACCTCGCGGGAAGCCACCGTCTCCCACCCTAGCAGGGTCCCAGAGCAGAGCGAGGTACGCAGGAGGGTTCCGCGCGGAGAACGCCGGCATCGCTGCCGCCCGGAAGGAACCCCCTAGCGGCCCACCTGCCCCCTCGCCGCCCCTGAGGCCCGGCCTGGCTCCCCGCCTGCACCCCCTCTGCTACCTTTCCGCCGGAAGAAGGACATGGCGGGGCCAGGGTCGGGGCGGAGGGCGCGGGGGGAATGTCGCGGGGAGGGCCCGGCTCCCCTCATTCAGCAATCAGCCCGGACTTCCGGGTCCGTAGCGGCCGCCACGCTAGTCCGAAATGAGACCCTTCTTCCGGGTGTGGGCCCTACCGCCTCCTCCAGAAACCCAGGCAGCTCCTGCCGCCATATTATCAACAAGCCGCCCGCCCGGAGTTCCGGTCCTTCGCAGCGCGAGGCTTCACGGGAGGCCGCGCTGCCGGCCCCGCCCCCCAGCTCCGCCCCTTTCGCCGGTACGGGGGCCACGCGTCTGCCCCGCCCATGTGACCTTGCGCGCTAGCGGCCCGCGCTCCTACGCGGCTACGGTTTCGCCGAGAGAGCGGCTGTCCCCGGCTAGCAGCCCTCTGGTACGTGGCTGCGGCCCTCGGCGAAGCAGCGCAGACCCAGTCCCTGCAAGCTAACGTTCTCACCGCGGAGCTGGGGTGGCGCGGCGCGTCTGGTGTGGGGTCCTGGACGTGGGCATCGTTCAGAGCGTGCCCTTCGGTAAGGCGGAGTCAATACTGCCGCACTCGGGCACAGCCCCCTCCCGTTTCTCGTTTTGGGCTCGCCAGCCGGCCAGCGCAGCTTTCCCCAGCACGCCAGCCCCTGCTCTCGGAGAGGAGCAGAACCCTGGCCCTGCGAGTTCAAGGCCAGGAAGGTATGAGGCAGACCCTGCTATATGCGGCTCTATTGACTCCTTTGGTCGCTGTGACCTCAGCAATGACAGAAGGAAAAGTGGAGTTATTTTCAGAACCAAATCCTTGCGAACGCTCAAATTCCAAAGGAACAAAAACAAAAGCCTCGCCGGCATTTACCAGGCAAACCCCAGTGAGATATCCTTCAAGGCTTGCCCAAAATGCCTTTTTCCAGTGAATCTTCTGGCCCTCCATCTGTCCCTAAAGCAGAGCGAAGCAAGCGTCCTAGCCTAAGTGCCTCTCACCACCCTGTGAGTGCGCTCAGCGACAGAGTAACTCAAAAAATGTTCACTGGGATTTATAATCAATGAAGTCCATCGTATGACAGATGGAGAAACAGAGGAACAGACGAAGAGACAACTTGTCGAAGATTACTCAGTGTTGAGTAGTGTTGAGACTGTAATAGAACCCGAGGTATTTTCACTATAATTAGAGCAAGTTAATAGATTTGTCTGTTTTGGTTCCAGGCATATAATCAGCTGATATTTATTGGAAGTTTATGAGGCCGGAAGTACCTTACTAAACCCTTCAGATTAGTAGTAGTCCTCGGAATAAGTCTTGGTGTGGGGAAAAACTAGGTATGGAAAAATAGCCTGCTCAAGGTCACAGGCTAACTAGGGTGAAGCCTGGTTTTCAAACCTAAACAGTCTGCCCCCAGAGCCAAAGTCAAGCCTCTCCCACCCTAAAAAGAGTAAGTCTGGGCAGAAGCAAGGCACTGACAGAGGCTCTGGATGCCGTAGTGTAACCTACCCCTGAGGTCGTGCTGAAAATGACATCTGTCCTACTGTGTCCTCCCAGCCTCGAGGGGGCTGCAGGGGTGTCTAGGTGGTGTGCCTCACACACACACTCGGATTTCTCTGCTGATCAATATTAGGATTTAAGTGGTATCTAGCAAAGGTTTAAGCATAGGATGTCTACACTCCTAGCGAGAGAGCACAGTGCCCTTCTCTTGTTCCCTTCAGGAGTCAAGTCTCCTAATAGCAGCTTTTTGTATTTGTTAACTGATTGGTTGAGATGGAACGAGAGTACAAGAAACTTCCTGAATATCACCAGAATAGCAGTTCCAAGGAGTGTGGGGGGAGCCCTACTCCCTCCAAATCACAACTCCTTCCTCATTCTCTCCAGCTAAGCGTAGAATCAGTGAAAAAATGGAGTCCTGCCTTGCCTTAGTGTGATTATTGCTCATGAGTTGCTACTAGCAAAAATTCTGAAGCTGCCTTTAATTCCCCCAGGCAGCTGAATACATCCCAGTCACGTAATAATAGCTGTCACTATGTGTTAAGAACATAATGTGCTCTCAATGTACTATATCTCTTGATGCTTTGTAATACCAATCTCTCTCGAACTTCTCCCCTACAAGAAAGACTCTGTGAGATGGCTACCATCATTACCCCCAATTTACAGATGATATCCTTGAGGCTCAGAGCAACTTACTCAGGATTACTGAGGCTAGTGAAGGGTAGAGACAGAATTTCAGTCACTGTCAGTCTGACTCCAAAGTCATTTGCTTATACCACTTTCTCCTATCTTTTCCTCTATCTCCAGCTAATACCCATTTATCTGATGTTCCAGCATGGAATGTCTATTAATTGGGTATGTATAAAAGGACAAGTGGTAACTAGCAGTGCAGATGCCTTCTGAACCATCACCCATTAAAGTGTTTATATGCTTAGGGAAGCTTTAAGAGTATTTTCATTTAATCTTGTGGAATTTGACAATTCACATATGAATCACATTTAAATAAAACAAGAATATAAAGATAGTCAAGAATATTACATTAGCCTGAATACCCAGTTGTGGCAAACTGATACTGTGCATTGCACTTCTAAGTTAATTTGTCAGACCCACTTTAATTTACAGGTAAAACAAAATAAAAATTTACCAGAAGGAATTCCTTTAATTATGTTCCTAATTTTCAGGGAATACTCTCAGTCTTTATACCAGTTTTATTAATTATAACAAAGCAGTGAGGTAAAATCAGCAAGTTAGTTATCACAAAGCCACAGGATAAAATTAATTTTCTATGACAAACACTGCTTAAAATCTAATGAACAGTGTTCTACAACAAATACTCTAAGAAAGGTAGTTTTCTATATCAGACATTCATAACCTCAAGGAAACTATTCAAACAAATCTTTTGATATTACAGGAAAAGAAAGATCAAGGTGCTGCCCATGCTGGGGAGCTGAATGAAGTAGAGACGGAGCCACCAGTGGAGGCAGTACCTGGGGCAGAAACCGAAGCCAGGGCCAGAGACTGAGACAGGCAGATAAGAGTCTACTGCCCTGAAAAGTTTGGTATGAGCCCCTTTTTACCCCTGACATTCTGTTGTCATTATCTGGCCTCAATGAATTCATAATGAACTTGCCTGGAGCAGGGGACTCCCTACCCCTGGAGCTGAATCAAAGCATTTTGGGCTTGACATAATTTACTTCTTTATAGTGATAATCCTGCTAGATAAATGGGAGTTTAGTGCAAAGTTTCCCATCAAAGGAAACTGAAACTAGTAGGGGATTATAATAGGAATCTCTGAAATTTGCATAACAGAGACTGCTACCAATAACAGGTGAAGCAGGTAATTTGGACTAGCCACCTGTTGAAGAAAACTAAAAGATGTGTACAAAACATTAAAAGACATTGAGGCAGTAAGTAGGTAATAAGAATTGCTAGATGAAGATAGAGAAGAAAAACAACCTCATGAATTAAGGCCTACATTTGGGACTTCTTGCTCTTGGATGATCCACTGTTCATGGAAAAGAGACAGGACACTCAGCAGGCTCCTGGAAAGGTCTGTGGGCTTTGCAGCTCCTCTCAGCCTCTGTTTCATCGTGGCCTCTGCTGATCTGCAAATCCTGGGGATCATTCTGACACTGCTTTGCTGGGTGAATGTTCTGGTGTCCCTTACTTTGCCCCCGTGGAAGGTGACTGCCTTCATCGGCAACAACATCATGGTGGTCCAGGTGGTGTGATAGGGGCTGTGGATACCCTGTTTAGTGCAGAGCACCAACTAGATGCAGTGCAAGATGTACTACTCACTGCTGGTGCTGCCCCAGGACCTGCAGGCTGCCCATGCCCTCTGTGTCATCACCCTCTTTGTGACCCTGCTCAGCCTGCTGGTCTACCTTGCTGGAACCAAGTGCTCCACTTATGTGGAGGATGAGGACTCCAAGGCCCATCTGGTTCTCACTTCTGGGATCATCTCTGTCATCTCAGGGGTCCTGATCCTGATACCTGTCTGCTGGAGGGCCCAAACCATCATCCAGGATTTCTACAACCCCCTGGTGGCTAAGGCCCCAAAACAAGAACTGGGGGCCACCCTCTACTTGGGCTGGGCAGCCTCTGGCCTTTTGTTACTGGGTGGGGAGGCTTTTCTGCTGCACCTGTCCCTCTGGGGGGTCCCAAGACTCCAGACATTACATAGCCCGCTACTCAGCATCTGCCCCACATGCCACCCCTCGGGGTCCCTCTGAGTACCCCACTAAGAATTATGTCTAATTCAGTTAGGGAAGTGGAGGCTCCCTTGATAGTGGAGCCTAACCCCCTGAGCTCGAGCCATTGAGGTAGTGATCTGTGGCAGCTTTGGGGTGGTTGTTATCTGTTTTTTGCTTTTTTTTTGGAGGGGTGTAATTTTTAATCCTTTTGGTAACCCAGCAAGAAACTTGGGCTCCCACCTGGGTTCTGCTGCTGGTGTTTTTCACCTTTGAGGGATGCAGACAAAGAGGCGATGCTTCCAAGTTTCTGGTTCTTTCTCCACCCTGGAGGACCCCTTCTTGGCAGTCAATCTGAAGCTGTGGGCCCAGGATGAAGGCTGCTCACTGTCCAGGTACTTTCTGCTTATCCCCAAGAGTTCCTACTGCTGTTGGAGCAGGTCCTGCCTGGGCTTGCAGGGACAAGCCCGCCTCTGCTGGTCAGGCCTCTGGAATCCTCAGGGATTCTTGAGCCTCACATAGCCTCTAGAAGAGCAGGTGATAAGTTACCAAAGAACCACTCACCTCAAGTCTTCTGACCTCTGGCACTTCCATCCTGAGTCACATTCCAGCTGTGCTGTAGACCATTGACCCACTCACCTCCAGCCCTTGCTCACTTTTGCCATGCCCTGCCCATACATACCAGTTTTTACTAAATAAAGTATCTCTGGTTACTTGCAAAAAAAAAGAAGAAGAAGAAAAAGAGACTGAGAAGCTAAGTGATGTTTTGATAGAGTAATATATTAGAGGACAAAAGTTAGACCCCAAAGCCTCTTTGGGTTGAGATTCTGAAAAAACTACACAAGAAGTGAACCAGCCCTTGCAGGGATTGCAACCCAGCTTCAAGTCATCTCTATGGCCCTGGAATCTTAATCCCTAACAGTAAATTAAGAAAATCCTGATTGCTGGATTCCTAGGTGCCTGATAGAAGCAAATGAAAACACTCTTGGAATAAGGTAACATAATCCATGGTCTCAAATTATTTCCACAATTTTTCAAATACAACATCTGGCACACAATCACAGAGACCAGGCACATAAAGAGACAAGACATTAGGAGCAAGAGCCAAGAGAAATCAGAAGCAATAGAAATGATCACACAGGAGCTTCAGATAGAATTATTGAATACAGGTTTTAAGATAATTGCTTACTATAATCAAGGACATAAAAAATAAGATTAGAAATTTTGTCAGAGAACTGGAAACTATAAAAACTTAAGAGTGCAAAGGCTTAAAGATGAAGGTGTGAGAGGTGAGACAGAAACCTCCTCCCAAAACCATATATAATATGAAAATATAGCAAATACATCTAATCCTCAAAGAGCAACAGGAAAGAAGGCTGTGGCAGACTGCCTACAACTGGGGAAAATAGCAGACCTCAAGGAAAAGGGTAAAATACCAAAGCTGTGATCTGGAAGGACCCAAGCCCTTCCCCACCTGAGATTGCAGGCAGAAGGAAGAGAAACAGTGGGGCAGAGGTGGAGGCCTAGGACTGCTAAACATCCAGGACTGGAGATCTGTTCTGGGAGCACAAACCTGCATTACATGGTGATCTGGAGAACACTAGGGTTGGAAAACTAAGACAGGCAGAATACTTGGAGAGACTGAGATTCCAGATGCTTATGGAAAACAGGTATCCACCACTGGCCACTCTGGGACAAAAGAAAGGTAGGCAGTCTGAGAGACTTCCTAACAGCTAGAGAGCTGCTAAAGGGGCAAGGATTTCACAGAGCTTACTGCTCAGGAGAAAGGACAGGTGGGCAAAATTGTCCAGACACAATCTACCCAGCAGGTTGGGAACATTCAGGAGCTTCAGGTTGCTCCACCCCCCAGCTACACAGCCATGAGGACCCAACCGTGAATGCAGCCTGCTGTGCTTTCCTCCCAGCTAGCACCAGCTTGCAAAACGGCTATCCCTGCCATTGCATCAGGCCAGCCAGAGTACCTGAAATGAAAAGGTACAAGGGAGGGATTTAAGAGCAGATTAGATGAAGTAGAGGAGACAGTAAATGAAATAGAAATTAGAGAATAGAAATACAAAGAAGCTGAGTCACAAAGACAAAAAAGGATCTCTGGGAATGAAAGAATATTGAGAGAACTGCATGACGAATCCAAACAGAAAACTATTTTCATTATAGGGGTACCAGAAGAAGAGAGAGAAAAGGGATAAAAAGTGTCTTTGAGGAGGCAAGTGCTGAGAACTTCCCCAATCTGGGGAAAGAAATAGTATCTTAGACTGTGGAAGTACACATATCTCCCAATACAAGGGGCCCAAGGAAGACAACACCAAGATACATAATAACTAAAATAGCAAAGATCAAGGATAAGGACAGACTTTTAAAAGCAGCTAGAGAGAGAAAAAAGGACCACATACAAAGGAAAACCCATCAGGCTATCATCAGACTTCTCAAAAGAAACCTTACAGGCCAGAAGGGAGTGGCATGATATATTTATTTAATGCAATGAAGCAGAAAGGCACTGAAACAAGAATACTCTTCCCAGCAGAATTATCATTTAAATTTGAAGGGGAGATTAAACAATTTCCAGACAAGCAAAAGCTGAGAGAATTTACCTCCCACAAATGATCTGTACAATGTATTTTGGAGGGATTGCTATAGAGGAAAGTGTTCCTAAGCCTAAATAGCTGTCATCAGAGGAAATAAAACCACAGTAAAGAAAGACCAATTAATTACTAAGCAGATGCAAAATCAAATCAACTACCCCCAAAGTCAGTCAAGGTATAGACAAAGAGTACAGTATATGATACCTAATATATAAAGAATGGAGGAGGAAGAAAAAGTAGGGGGAAAAAAGAACATTTAGATTGTGTTTGTAATAGCATACTGAATTAAGTTAGACTGTTAGATAGTAAGGAAGCTACTCTTGAATGTATGGCAACCACAAATCTAAAGCCAACAATGACAATAAGTACATATCTCTTGTTAATCACCCTAAATGTAACTGGTCTGAATGCACCAGTCAAAGACATAGAGTCACTGAATGGATAAAAAAAACAAGACCTGTCTGTATGCTGCCTACAAGAGACTCACTTCAAACCTAAAGACATTCACAGAATAAAAGTGAAGGGGTGGAAAAAGGTATTTCATGGAACTAAAAAGAAAAAAGCAGTTGCAGTACTTGTATCAGACAAAATGGACTTCAAAACAAAGAAAGTCACAAGAGACAAAGAAGGACACTACATACTGATAAAGGGGTCAATCCAACAAGAAGATATAACCATTATAAATATCTATGTACTCAACACAGGATCACCTACATATGTGAAACAAATACTAACAGAATTAAAGGGGGAAATACAATGCAATGCATTCATTCTAGGAGACTTCAACACTCCACTCACTCCAAAGGACAGATCAACCAGACAGAAAATTAGTTAGGAGACAGAGGTGCTGAATAACACAATAGAACAGATGGACCTAACAGACATTTACAGAACTCTATACCCAAAAGCAGCAGAATACACATTCTTCTCAAGTGCACATGGAACATTTTCAAGAACAGATCATATACTAGGCCACAAAAAGAGCCTCAGTAAATCAAAAAGATTGAAATTGTACAAACGATTTTCTCATATCACAAAGGTTTGAAACTAGAAATAAATTACATGAGGAAAATGAAAAATCCCACAAACATGGAGGCTTCACAACATGCTCCTAAATATTCAATTGGTCAATGACCAAATAAAAACAGAGAACAAGCAATATATGGAGACAAATGAGAACAATAATTCAACACTGCAAAATCCGTGGGACTCAGCAAAGGCTGTGCTAAGAGGAAAGTATATTGCAATACAGGCCTACCTCAGGAAAGAAGAACAATCCCATATGAACAGTCTAAACTCACAATTAATGAAATTACAAAAAGAAGAACAAATGATGCACAAAGTCAGTAGAAGGAGGGGCATAATAAAGATTAGAGCAGAAATAAATTAAGTCAAGAAGAATAAAACAATAGAAAGAACCAATGAAAGCAAGAGCCAGTTCTTCAAAAAAGAAACAAAATAGATAAATCCCTAGCCAGACTTATCAAGAAAAAAAGAGAGTCTACACACATAAACAGAATCAGAAATGAGAAAGGAAAAATCACTACGGACCCTACAAAATTACAAAGAATTATTAGAGAAGACTATGAAAAACAATATGCTTACAAACTGGATAACCTAGAAGAAATGGACAACTTTCTATAAAAATACAACCTTCCCAGGCTGACCCAGAAAAAAAAAAACAGAAAATTGGAACAAACCAATTACCAGCAATGAAATTGAATTGGTAATCAAAAAACTACCTAAGAACAAAATCCCTTGACCAGATGGCTTCACCACTGAATTTTACCAACATTTAGTGAAGCTGTAACACCCATCCTCAAAATTTTCCAAAAAGTAGAAGAGGGGATACTTCCAAACTCATTCTATGAAGCCAGCATCACTCTAATACCAAAACCAGGCAAAGACACCATGAAAAAAAGAAAATTACAGACAAATATCCCTGAAGAACATAGATGCAAAAATACTCAACAAAATATTTGCAAACCAAATTAAAAAGTACATAAAAAAGATCATCCATCATGATAAAGTAGGATTTATTCCAGGGATGCAAGGATGGCACAATATTAGAAAATCCATCAACATCATCCACCACATCAAAAAAAAAAAGGACAAAACCCACGTGATCATCTCCATTGATACTGAAAAAGCATTTGACAAAATTCAACATCTATTCATGATAAAAACTCTTAACAAAATGGGTATAGACAGCAACTACCTCAACATAATAGAGGCTATATATGACAAATCCATGGCTAATGTCATACTTAACAGGGAGAAGCTGAATGCCTTTCCTTTAAGATTGGGAACAAGACAGGGATGCCAACTCTCCCAAATTTTGTTAAGCATAGTACTGGAGGTCCTACAACACAAAGAAATAAAAGGCATCAGATTGGTAAGGAAGAAGTGAAACTGTCACTGTTTGCAGATGACAGGATATTGTACATAAAGAAACCCTAAAGAATCCATCCTAAAACTACTAGAACTAATAACTGAATTCAACAAAGTTGCAAGATACAAAATCAATTCATACGAGGAGCCAAGATGGTGGCATGAGTAGGGCAGGGGAAATCTCCCAAACTCATATATTTTTGAAAATACAACAAATACAACTATTCCTAAAAGAGAGACCAGGGGGTACAGTACAACAGGCAGGATACATCTACACCTGCGAGAACCCAGTGCCTCACAAAGGGAGTAAGATACAAGCAACGGCCCAGCGAGAACCAAGCGCCCCTCACCCCAGCTCCTGGTGAGAGGAAAGAAGTTGGAGCAGGGAGGGAGAGGGAGCCCAGGACTGCTAAATACCCAGCCCTAGACATCCACACTGGGAGCACAGACACACAGTGCATGGTATGCTGGATAGTAGAGAAACAGAACAGTACAACCTGCAAGTGAGTTCCCACAGCCAGCACCCCTGGGACAAAAGAAAGCGAGTGCCTTTTAAAAGTCTTAACGGGACAGGAGCCTCAGAGCTGGACGGAAGCATCCGAGCACACTCAGCCCAGCAGCCGGGAATCCCAGGGAACTCT